GGAGACATGCAAAATGTGCAGTGTTGGGGTGCCTCCAGGACCAGGGTTGGGAACTACTGGTTTAAACCATAACTAAGTAAGCCAAAGGCAAAGAGAGAGATAAAGCCTTGGGAGAAACCAGATTCATTCGGGAGACCAGTTCTCCTCTGGACAATAATTTATTGTTTTAAGAATTTTTTATTTATTTATTTAATTTATTATTAAAAATGTCTAAAAATTCCAAACTCTGTGTTGTTTAGTGATTTAGTCAATTTTGATTTTTTTTGTCTCTAAATATATTTACAAAGTACAATACATAATTGCATTGGTTTAGAGAGGATTTATTTTGATGTTTCATTTAAGCACAGTAGTTGCCGTTACAAAAAAGAAAAAAACAAAACAAAACATATACACACTGTCAGAGTCTGTTCCGTGTTTTGCTCCCCCACGTGCTCCTGTTCCTGTCCTGATTGTGTTTCCAGGTGTTCCCCGTTTAGTTCTATTGTAGATGTGTCCCATGAGCTCCCTTACTATTTAAGCCGTGTGTGTTTCCATTCTTCCTCGTCCGGTATTGTGAATGTCTGATGAACTTCGACCCCCGTGTCCCGTGTGTGTGATTCTTCTGATGTCAATAAAGACTGTTAATCCTGATTCTCCTCGTTCCTCGCTCCTCAACGTAGGCACACCGTGACACACACTACTACAAAGCTTTTTTTTTTATTTTGGAAAGAAATTCATCTTACTAATTCTGTTTGCAAATATTGTATTCTGTTTGCATATTTGCAAGTATGCAAATATGATCAAAAGTGAAAGTAAAGACATTTATAATGTTATTGAAGTTATTTTTTTTTAAATTTCAAATAAATGCTGTTCTTTTTCTGTTCTACTCATCACAGACTCATAAGAAAACTGCATCATGGTTTCCACAAAAAAGCAGCACGAATGTTTTTAACATTGATAAGAAATATTTTTTGAGCAGCAAATCAGCATATTAGAATGATTTCTGAAGGATCATGTGACCCTGAAGACTTGAGAAAATTCAGCTTTTCCATCACAGGAATAAATAAAAATGATCAATAATAAAAGATAGAAAATAGAATTTATAGAAATAGAAAGAAAGAAAATGGAAGTAAAAATAACAAATATATCAAATATAAATATATAAAATAAAAAAAGACAAAATAGAAAAGATTTTTAAAAATAGAGATTAAAAAAACTGAAAAATAGAAATTGTAATAAAAATGGGAAAAGTAGAAATGCTACTTTTACTGTACTTTTGATAATTTTTACTGAGCATAGGAGACTTATTACAAATACATTTAAAAAATGTTTTATATAAAGATGATAAAACAAAACCAAAAAATATATGTAAGATTCTGCAATAATAATCAAAAAAGCAAGCTTGTAGCAAACTGAAAATATAGCCTTCCTTGATGTAGCAATTAAATGCTCAGAATAGTACGTTTTGTAAAAAGAATGAGAGCTTTGTACAGAGGGGTTACATGACATGATGACAGTTATAGGGTGGTAATGGCACAAGAGCATCAGGAGTTTGACTTCGTTATCCTGCAAAGCCTGTGTGGTGAGTCTAATGCACTGAAGTAATTAATAGTCACTCAAACGTCACTGTCACACACCTAGATAAGCTTTCCCATGCATGTATACACTGATTACACACACACAAACACAAAACATCACTCACACAGGTCACAGGCACACACATACAAACGTAAAATACACACCCAGAAAAACCTGTCATGACTATGCCACACATACAATGTAAATCCGTATCTATTTTATGCTTAACCGACACTTGACTGAGGTCAAGTTACACAAAAAGCCCTTTATCCTGTCTTGGCACTAAGAAAACAAAACGAAACAAAACTTTTTTTTTCTCAAATTAATTTATTTTTCTCCAAGAGTCAAGATTGTTTAGAATAAAAATACCAATATGTATACATACAATTCTTATGAAAATATATTTAGAATCTTGAGGTAAAAAATAAATGAAAGGACATGTGGCCAAGTATGGTGACCCATACTAGGAATTAGTGCTCGTACGAGACTCGAACCCGCAACCTTTGGGTTACGAGTCCGACTCTCTAACCATTACGACTTCCTCTCACCAACTAATTAGAAGGCAAACAACACATGAACATAAAATACATTTTCTTTCAAATTTAAAAAAAAAATGTTTTATTACACAAACATTAGGTATTGTGTATTGCCAGAATCATTTCACACATATTACATCTGATTAAAGGAATTATTCACTCAAAAATTAACATTTACTCACCCTCAGGCCATTCAAGATGTAGATGAGTTTGTTTCTTCATTGGAACAGATTTAGAGAAATTGAGAGAATTTTTTCCTCTGCAGTGAATGGGTGCCGTTAAAATGAGAGTCCAAAGAGATGAAAAAAAAAAAAAATCACAATAATCCACAACACTCTAGTCAATCTATTATCATCTTGTGAAGTGAAAAGCTGTCTGTTTGTAAGAAACAAATCCATCATTAAGGCTTTTGAACTTTAAACTGTTGCCTCCAAAATCCATAATAATGCTTCCTCCAGTAAAAACTTCCTCTTGTTGTCTTCTTGCATCAAAATCTTTTAGATTTGTTTAGAACTGTTTAGGACTGTTTTTGCTTATAAACACTGCTTGATCTGTGCACATTTCTCTCCTGATTCAGAAGAGACAACTTTTCACTGGGAAAAGCAATATTATGGATTAATGGATATTTGAAGTTAAAATGTCTTAATGATGGATTTGTTAATTACAAATACGCTACTTTCCACTTCACAAGATGTTAAATGATGGACTGGAGATGTGTGGATTACTTGTGGATTATTGTGATGTTTTCATCAGCTGTTTGAACTCTCATTCTGACGGCACCCATTCACTGCAGAGGATTCATTTGTGAGCAAGTTATGCAATGCTAAGTTTCTCCAAATCTGTCCAAATGAAAAAATAAATTCATTTACATTTTGGATGGCCAGGGGGTGAGTAAATTTGCTGCAAATGTTAATTTTTGGGTGAACTATGCCTTTAAAAAACAATTAAATACCACTCAGATAAAGTATTTGAGTATGTCTCAGCAAAATACAGCATATGATCGTAAAGTTTAAAGGCTTGCAAAGTGCAGCTGAGAGAAGGTGCTTGAGGGAGTGGTGGATCATGGGAGGTGTAGTCAGTAACGTTGTTGAGTTCGGGTGCGATTATCAGCAGAGGCTCCTCGCCTACGCACGGTGACACCTACAGTCTCACCGGTCTGGTTCTTCAAGGATGAGAAGACAGAAAGAGGGGACAGAGCTGTGAGCAGGTCACATTAGTTCAAGGGAACAGATCACTTCCTCTGAACACATGGGCAATACTTACAAATGCAGGACCCAAAGTAAAGATGCCCCTCACTGCTGGGTTGCCACCAGCTGTATCTTGCACATCTGTTAAATCAAGTGGAAGTGATCAGGGACACAGCTGTTGGTATTTTGAAAACATTAAAACAAGAAACGCACACATAGGGCAAAATTAAAAGGTACTGCCCTCGCCTCAAATCTGTGATAAACATATAAGCTTTGACTGTGTGGATTAAATGTACATGATTTTAAATGAAACTGACATTGCAGGCGTTGATTAAGTCTCTCGAGTGACTGCAGGATCTTCTGCTCCTCTAGTGACAGAGCGCTGACACTGAGCGACTGTATTCTCTGGCTCAATGGACCAATCGGACCGTTGCAGATCTTATGGGTCGGAGCACAGTCCTCTACTTCATGAGCACCGTCTGACACCTCAGGGCCTGTAACAGTGGAAAATGTTGATGCTTAAATGTTTAACCTTAAACCGCATAAACACATTTCATTACACCAAATAATGTTCTTTTTAGCAGCATCATATGACCCCTTTAAAGTCAAGGGTGTTAAAACAATTTGGCTTCTAACAGCAGTTTGATTTAAAACACACAAACTACCATATCAAAATCAGTTTTTTTTTAACAAGTAAATTGATCAAAAGTGACAGTAAAGACACTTATGTTACAAAAGATTTCTATTTCAAATAAATGCTGTTCTTTTAAACTTTCTATTAATCAAAGAATTCTTTAAAAAAATCATCAGGGTTTCCACCGTAATAAATTACCTTTACCCTCACAGCAATAAATTACATTTTAAAGTACTTCACAATATTATATTTTTCCAGTATTATTGGAAGAGACTTCTTTCAAAAACACAAAAAAATCTTACTGACTGTAGTGTAATGGTAGTGTAAGTTTGTAAAAATGAGCAAAAAAATGGAAATGAAATCAACGATTTCCCTCATGTTCATATTTTAGGGGGTGCCAAACACACACAAAAATAAATAAAATAAAATAAAACAACAATTACGTATCTTACAAGTCCATCTTGTGCGCATTCCAAGTTTTCTTAAACCATATGATAACTTTGGGCAAAAACAGAATGAAATTTTTAGCAATATCAACTGATAATCCTGCCCTCCCTGCGAATTATATTGTGTGTAATATGGACTAATTTTATGATATTTTTAAGGTACTTTTTGATTATTTTTGGAGCCTGACAGCTGTTGCCACTTTGAACTGTCATTGTATGGCTGTATAACATTTTCTCAAAAATGTCTTTATCCTATAGAAAGAAAGAAAGAAAGAATAACAGCACATGGGACTGAAATGACGGTAAGTAAATAATGACAATATTTGGAAAAATAATAATTTTGTGTATAAAAATGATTTTGGTTGAGCAATTAAAAAAAAACAAAACATGCTGCACCTTACATGATTAATGTATGTTTGTACATGAGAATAAAAGATTTACATTTTAAAAATGCTTTGCTCTTGCCCTGTTGAAAATCTGCAGAGGAGACCCATTTATCTACATAACAGGATATCAGATATTCATTTACATGATAAATTACCTTCACTGTCAGCTGCATGACCATTTTTATTTGGGTATTGAGGTTTTGGCACAGTGACCTGTTAAACCCAAAATCAACAGTTAATGAACACTTATTCCAAAAATGTTAAAAAGCCAAAGCAACATAACATGAACACAAAGTTTTGCAAGTATATCATCAACATTACTTTTTTTATTTGAACTACACACCAGATAAGTGGTAAGCAAAATTCTAAGGGGCTGCTTTAATTAAGTTCATTTGTATTTATTTATCAAAATGATATAAATATCCTTGTCAGCTGAAAGACACCTATGGAAAATGTTTCTTTTTTCCACAGCACTCTGAACTAGATGCTATAAATACATCTATGCAAAATAAACCAGTTGTAAGTCAACTCTAGTAATAGCTTAGTTTTCTTTGCTTTCTAGGACAGTATCTTTAGAATATTTGCATGTTTACCTGATAAGGAAAACTAGGCTTTCTCTGTGTTGTTCCTGCCGTTTGGTTCCTGCTGTTTTCCACTGAAACTCGGCTCTTCACCATATTACTCCCCATAGCCTGTCTCCTTATTGGACTTCTCACTGGTTTACAGAAGAAACTCTGATTAAAAAGTACATTCATATCTAAGCAGCACATTTCAGTGATTAGCAAACCACTTCACCTTAGATAACTGACCCAATTACCATGAACATCTGAAAAATAATGACTTGATGTATGGGCTCACATGTAGCTCTAGCATTAAAGTCTAAATAACTCTAGTGAAGCAACTGACATGTCTTTATTCATTTTTTATCACTTATATTGTGCTAGCAAGGGCAAATGTCCCGGCTTTTGGTATTTTAAGAGATAAATGTATTATAAGAGCCTGTTTGACATAATTAGTTACATAAAACGATAGACTCTTACTGTTAGAGGAAGACAAGAAAAATCCACCCATTTTTGAGGCTCCTTTGACACCACTGATCAGACTATCACCATTGATAGTGACATGGGACAGACTGGCACAGACTTGAGGCGAAGAAGACAACGGGCCATTGTGAGCAAGAAAACTTTGAGGGTCACCTAAGTCAATTCAGAGAGAAAAACACAAAAAGACAAAAGAAGACGATGTAAGACAGTTTAATGAAAATGTCCCAATGCACGAAAGTCAGTTATCCTGTTCTTGAGGTCTCTGTCCTCAAAATGTAGAAGTTTCCTGATGTTATAAAAAAAAATTGACCCCTGAGAAACAGCAGTCCACCATTAAATGGATCCATTTCAACAGAGTAGTAATCCCAAGTGGTGCAATGCTGTGCAGACTCTATTGATCCAACACTAAAAAAAATCCTTTTCCAAAGACTCTAGAAAAATATCCCCCAAGAATCTCAAACAAAGCTGCTGAACTTGCCGATACACAAAGGGAGCGGCTTGCCGATACACAAAGGGAGTTCTTTCAATCGACTCTCATTTGACTATATGGCAAGGTGCAGTGAAAGTTCATGGGAAGCTGATGATTCCATGATGGTTGGTATTGTAATATGTGGCCAGAATGTTCCTTGTCAGTTGAAAGACACCTACTGAAAATGTTTCTTTTTTCCACAGCAGGTTAACAATCATTCCCAACATTTGAAAGACGCAGAATGGAAAAATACAGAAATAGGGAAGTAAATAACTTTTGTAACTAGTATAAATATAGGCTGTTGTAACTTGTTAAATCATGGTGCAACAAGTAATTTTTAGTATACACTGTAATAGAAAATGCTGCACAATGTGACACAATTACAACATATTATCAATAACAACATATGTATGCCTACTAAAGCCTCTACACCATTAACATGATCAGTCACACTTTATTTTGAAGTCCAATTCTTGTTATTAACAAACCACTGACTACGACATTTGCCTCAATAAACTCCTAATTTGCTGCTTATTAATAGTTAGTAAGATAGTTGTTAAGTTCAGGTATTGGGTAGGTTTAAGGATGTTGAATATGGTATGTACAGAATATGTGTTTTATAAGTACTAATAAATCAATATGTTAATAATAGGCATGCTAATAAGCAACTAGATGAGAATAGTGAGAATTGGTCCCTATACTAAAGTGTTACAACATGATCGACACAACACTTTTGTATACAATCTATCTATGCGTATTTAATATTTCATACATTATTTATAGAAAAACTGTTGAAAATGCTTGTATGCAGAGTAATATATGTATTTGAAGTATATAAATAATCATTGTAATGCATTTTACATATTAACTAATTAAGGTAACACTTTATATTATGGAACACATATTCAATATTAAGAGTTTTTCTTCAATAAACTCTTAATTTGCTGCTTATTAATAGTTAGTAAGGAAAAAGTTTAGGTATTTTGACTCGAGTTAAGGGATCTAAAATATGGTCATGCAGAATAAGGCAATAATATGTGCCTAATAAGTAGGCCTACTAATAAACAGCCAATATGGTAGTATTATGCATGCTAATAAGCAACTAGTTAATAGTGAGAATTGGTCCTTAAAATAAAGTGTTACAAAAATGGGTATATCATGTATATTTGTATTTTTGACATATGTGGCCTGCTTGATTATTACAGTTTCAACCATTTTCCAATTTTTAATATATATTATAAAAAAAATATTTGTGGATTATTTACAGTGGAATGATTTTTGGAATTCTGTTTAGTTTATTATTTTTGCCTACCACAAAAAAGTTCCTTCATTAAAAAAAGATTTAATTCAATAATTGTAAATGCAATCAAAAACAATTTTTTTTGATCAATAAATTATAATAAAACTCTGATATAAATCATGCTTTTATTATAATTTATCATAAGCAACTAGTTAATAGTGAGAATTGGTCCTTAAAATAAAGTGTTACAAAAATGGGTATATCATGTATATTTGTATTTTTGACATATGTGGCCTGCTTGATTATTACAGTTTCAACCATTTTCCAATTTTTAATATATATGATAAAAAAAATATTTGTGGATTATTTACAGTGGAATGATTTTTGGAATTCTGTTTAGTTTATTATTTTTGCCTACCACAAAAAAGTTCCTTCATTAAAAAAAGATTTAATTCAATAATTGTAAATGCAATCAAAAACAATTTTTTTTTATCAATAAATTATAATAAAACTCTGATATAAATCATGCTTTTATTATAATTTATTGATCACAAAAAATGCACCCTCAGAATATTTCACATGTCAGGCTTTACAGGGAGTTAACATTTTATACACCAATGTATAGTGGGATTTTAGACTCACTCAGGTGAATCATTTTACAAATGTGTTAGGACAGAAATACAGAGTTTGGGTAAATTTTCTTTACCGTCTTTACTGGCGAGAGCACTTCGGACTCCATGCCACAGCAGTGAGATCTCCTCATCTGTTGGAGTCCGGTCCAAACATATCCCGTTCTCTCCACACCTGCACCTGGCATTGTCTGCAAGGGCATCTGGAGGGGAGAGGGAACAGATGCCTGTCTCATGGGTGAAGGTACAGTAGGGTGGCACTGGAGCACAGATAGCATCTGTTCTGAGGGTAGGCCGATGAACTATTGCCTGGCTATCTGGAGTGTCTTTGCAAAGGGCCAGATCCTGCAGATCCGGTCTGCTCTGTACACCTTCGTCATTGCATGATGCCTTTGAGATGTACACGGGACCCTCAGCTAAGTTACACTCCACAGCTTCAGGTTTTGGAGGGGGTCGAGGCACCAAAATCTTCCCCTGGGTCTTGGCCACATGTTGCGCTTCCCTGGCAGATTGCGGTCTGATGATAGTGCCCTTCCTGGCCCGGGAGGTAACGGGACACAAGCCGACTCTGGCTGAGCGCGCTCTCCGGGGAGTCCGTGGGCCCCCAGTGCAGAGGGCTCTTCTTTGAGAGGTGGGCTCCTGTGTACGGCTTTCTTGGGGCCCTACATCTGCCCAGGCCTGTCTAGTGGATTGGGGCCCAGCGGGGACAGCAGAGGTCTTATTGGAGATGTTCTTTGATAAAGCTGTAAGTAAATTCACATGGTCCGAGTGATCTGCCGAGAGCTGTTTATGGGTTTGTTGAGGCAAGTTAGCATGCCTGCTGGGGTCTCTAAACACTCGGTCCACCCCCTCAACTCCATCTACCTCATCAAACCAGCGTAGTTTCTTCTTAACCGTCCTATTCTGCTCTGGCTCATTGAATTTTGTCCTGGCCAGCTCTACGCTGTCGCGGATTAATATGGCCACTTCTTTGGTGAAAAGCAAATGGCCAGGAGTGTAAGTGAATTTGACATTGCCTGATTTGGATTTTAAATGGTTTTTAAGGATCCCTTTCAGGAATCTGACGTTGTTAGGGGCAGAATGGGTCACGGGGTCTGCAGATGTTCTGTTTGGTTCCTCCATGCTTTTAGAAGAATTCAGCATTCCAGCTTTTGCCAATTTGGTGACATCCGTTTCATTTTTAGGATCTATGCTTATACTCTCCTCCATGCTCAGCGGTTTGAATTCTATCTTGAGCCCTGTGGCAACATATACATCTGGTTTGCGTTTATGTGACTGTGAAGAACTCAGTTCTTCTATTGGTTGTATGTTTGAGGAACTCATGTCAGTTCGATATGTTACGGCAGAGGAGCACGAAAAGGCTTCGAAAGAACTGTTACTGTGTTTGCATCTGCTGGCTGGAAGAGCCGTCTGTGTTTCTGAGAAATGTTTAGCATATTTCTCCTCCAGGGTTCTTGTCTGCTGCTTGGATTCTGACTTGAAGTCTTTAGTCAGACTTGAGAATTCCAGGGGTGTGGTATCTGGCACGGCTTGTGTTTTGCAGTGGGCAACCACAGATCCTTTGTCTTTCAAAATGTTCCCTTGAGCGTTTCTGTCATTATCATGAGTCATATGTTCTGAATTAGCTGCTAAGTCCTGCTGAGTCAACTCTTTTTGGCAACTATGGGTGTTGAAGGTCTGCAATTGGTCTTTTGAGTTATCAAACCTTTCTTGCGTGCAATTCCGGAGACTCCTGTTTTCTTCTGTTGACTCATGATCCTTTGGTGAGGGTGAGTTGAGACTGAGTTTGCTTTCCTGATTTAAGAATTCCTCCAGGAAGCTCTTTGCTACAGAAGTGGAGGGGTGAGATGGTGAACATGGGTTGTTGTACTGTCTGAATGGTGCTGGAGTATTTTTGGGGTCTTGGAGCTTAGGGGGATCCACGGGGAGGTAGAAAGACTGGGTACAGGTGGTGCTCTTGTGGGAGCAACAAACCGGTGTAGTGTCATGGGTCTTCTGAGTGTCTCCATTCTCTAAGCTGTCCAGACTAGACAGACTCTCTGTCTCACTATGTGGGGTATCAAGATACTCCTGAAAATCAATATATAAAAAAAAAACATTAGAGCACTTATGCATTAATACTGGCAGACTGGGTGCTTTTTGGAGATCATGTTGCATGCATGGAAAATAAAACATAGGAAGTTCATCTTTAACTCTAAGAGAAATAATGTTTTATTTTTGTAATTTTTTTTTACTATGAATAGACCAGATCAATATACATATACATTACTAAGATATTTTAATGTATTTGAAAGAAATCTCTTATACTCACCAAGGCTGCATTTATTTAATCAAAATAAAGTAAAACTAAAATATTATTACTATTAAAATAACTCTTTTCTACATTTAAATATTTTAAAATGTGATTTATTCCTGTGATGGCAATGCTAAGTTTTTAGTAGCCATTTCTCCAGTCTTTAATGTCACACGATCTTTCAGAAATTATTCTGTTATATGCCGACTTGCTGCTCAAGAGATATTTCTTATTAGTATCAATGCTGAATGCAGTTAATATTTTGTATAAAATGTGATACATTTTTTTCAGGATTCTTTGATGAACAAAGTTAAAATAAACAAAATTTATTTGAAACTGAAATATTTTGTAACAATTTAAAATGTCTTTCATTTATTTAATTTCAATTAATTTCTTAAAAAAGTACTTACCCCAAACCTTTTAATGGTATTGTAAATATATATTTCGTCTCAAACATTGATCAACAATCATGTTAGACGATTGAGTTCTTAAGAATCTGTATTTATGTATCTGTTTAAAAAGCAAGAGTATCACAAATATTAAAATCGTCTTACCCAAAAAATAAGACAAGTAAAATCATAATATATAATAGCATACTAAATATCCAGAAGGAAAACTAAAGGCAGATAGAGCATGATGGTGACAGACATTCCTATGAAGGGCATTCCATAACTCTTGACTACATTTGTGCACTGAATGGAACACTTTTCCAAGAATACCTAAGCCTAAAACCTATCCTGTAAATAGGGTTATTACCTTCTGTGTCCTGCTCTGTTCACAGTTCACTGTATTAAATTATGTGTTGGCTACAAGCCAGTGCAGGTAACATTCCAGCAGGTGTGTGTAAGAGGACATAACTAAGTGTGCGAGAGTGAAAGAATGTTTGTTTGAGGTATTGAGAAAGGGGATGTGTATCTGTGGTTTTAATATGCGTTTGTGTGATTAAAGCTTCAGGATGAGCTCATTTCTTTAAAACACCTCCGTTTGTTCAGAAGATGCTGCGGCATGTTGTGGCAGGAAGAGCCCTGTGCTAAAATTACAATGTCATTCTGTTTCCCCAATAGTTGGAATTGGATCTTAAAACCTTCACACACTCCTTAAGCAAATTTTTCCAACAGGCCTTTAAACACGCACAATCACGGTCCTAGTGAATCACTGTGAACTATCACTTGTACAAGGAAGTTGATCACAATTGCAATCTTGTAACTGTAAACAAACAAAAGCCTCAACTCGGCATTACATAAACTTCCAGATGATGGACTAAACTCATCAGCAACATTTTATTATAAACAGCTTTTTAAATGAACACCATCAGGTATGGTTTAACTATGTATTTAGTTTTATGAGTATGCATATTAACCTGTAGATCGGCCTGCTCTTTTTCTTTCAGAACAGCCTGGGTCTCCTGTTGCTCACTGAGGAAGAGCAGCTGGTTGTTCTTGAAGTTACTCAGGCTCTTCTCCTGCAGGAGTTTGGCGTAGGCCTCAGCTGTAGATAAGGCACGTAGGTGACGGGCGCCCCCTGAAGGCTTTGGGGAGGGAGTGCAGCTCCTGAAATAAACGGGATTCAATGCAACCACAGTAATAATGAATAAGCACCTTTTATACAAGAAATGCAGCCCAAAGTGTGTTCAATGCTAAAAATATTACAACAAGCATAAAGCCATAATTACCATATTTAATGTAACATACAATTAAAGATGAAAATGATTATCAACAAAATGCATAAAAAATATTTAAATTCAAATATGGAATAAAAGAAAAAGATAATGCATGGAATGCTCCAGAAACGTCATTGCTAATTAAAAGCTAAAATAAGTGAAGAGAAGTTTTTAGTTTTCTTTTAAAATGATTCATCTGGCTTCCCTAATATCTAAAAATTGTATAGAACTCTATGATTTTTTGAAGTGCTGCCAAAAGTAATGTTTTTCAAAATGTAATTCAAAATAAAAAAGACAATGAAAAAGTAGCTACATTTTCATTAAAGTAGTGACTTTAATTAATAAGATGAATAAACATTATTACATTATGATATAATGCTTAATATATTAAATGACATTCAAACATTTATTTATACAAGTATATTTATATATGATATTCAATTTTCTATTAATTGTAAAAATAACTGAAATTATTTTTCACAAATGCTATTGATTGAGCGTTTATGTTTTAATATTTGATATTAAATATTATTTAGATGGACTTCATTAATTAAAGTTCTAAAAAATTATCATTCTAAATCATTACAAAATGTTATGGATCTTCAACCAATAATATTTTGCCATGGCAATGATGTCGTACCTGCTAATGGTGGAGCCACTTGCCAAAAATGGAGATTGTTGAGTGTATAAGTGCGGACTGCCCTGAATATGATGAAGTGCTTCATCAAGGTTGAGTGTTCTTCTCTTAAAGGCTGCTGAAGGACACAAATTACTTTATTTAAACGGAGGATGAGATGTTTACATCACATACTGACCTAATAATAACCACTAACAGACAGTTCAAGAGATAAAGAGAGCATGTAGACACATGGATTAGGCTGTTTCGCTGAACTTACCTGGTCTTTTTCTCTGGGAAGGAGGGAGATGAGCTCTTTGGAAGTTCTCTGTGGCATCCTGGACCCTCTGATGGCGCTGCTGTAGAATATTCTCCCTCAGTCTCTGCTCCTGAACATCCCACTGTTTCCTTCTCTCCTCTAGAGCCCTAGAGAGACAATCAGACAGTACAAAAATGTGTGACCTTTGACAGATAGACAATGCTTTGCACACACTGTGTCCTCTTAAAGATATAATTCATTATTTTTAAGACGGATGGATAAGAAGTTTGGCAACCGTGTGCAGCATATCAAATACACCACTTGACTTCAAATGGAAATGAGACTTTAATCTAATTTGCAATATCAGCTCCTTGCGCAAGCTGGCGTTATCTCAGACGTTTACTTTCCAGGGTCAACAGAAACCTGAGACTTCTGTAACAGATGCATTTCAGCTAAATTCATTTGTTAATGGCACAGAAACTGGTGCATGCCTGTGCTGCGCACCCACTGAGCTGTCAGGTAGAATTGCAACTAAACTGATGCAAAATAATTTACCATAGTAGCAACTTAAACTAACCTTGCTTTGTTATAAAAAAAACATTAAATCAATATTTTAAAAAATAATATTTGAAGAGACTTATTGACCTTGACACACAGTCACAGGTCCCACCTATAATGTAAGTCTTTTTTAAAGAATTTATAATACAAGATTACTACTTAATAAGGTTTCTACTGCGTAATTGCATTCTTTTACTAAAGCTTTTTTCTTCATTATGATATTAGGACAGTTTTATCACCTTTATATTTTTAACTTTAAAATGTTTACATTTATTTTAATACATGAATTAAAAGCATGCACATCATAGAAGTGTCTTTGCATGAACTTTGCATTTTTTATTTATTTCTGAATAAAGACAAAAATGAGTGTCCTGTCATTGACACTCTTGCACATAGTCATGAAATTCTGTAATGTACTCGATATGTTTCAGGAATTATTTAATCACCACAAAAATAGCTCCGGATCTGTGTCCCAGCCTTCTCTGAACTCAGTGGGGGGACGCACTCGTCTTCCTCACCATCACTGCCTTCTATAAAGTAATGTTCCTTTGCTCTTGCTGATTAGAGCTTCTATTTCAAGCTGGTAAATCCTGGCTGACAAATAAAGGATTGTATAACAGTATCTGTGCCCTGCAGGGTAGCTTTACTTTCAATGTGCACAGGGACTGACCAGGTCAAAAACCCAGACTGAGCCATTAACAGCATGGAGACAGTTCTTAGTATATCTGACACTCACTGTCAACACTAGATTCAGCAGCTGTGCATTGCTTCTGATCTCTGGGACACTAACCCGGCAGTCTTTTAGCGCAGTTGCCTCCTTGGTGAATACGCTGACGCTATTTTTTTCTTGTTATTGCCAGCTCATCTAATAACAAGTCCCCAGAGACTGAAAGCCTAGAGCTGTGTAGTTTAATATCCATGCTGCAATGTATTAAATGTTTAAGGAAATAGATGTTGACATGCTTATAAATGAATAATTTGGATGGACAGCAAAGAACAAAGTTTTCCCCCCAATAAACATTAAATGATCTATTCAGTTTGTGTTTTCATAGTTGTTTGGTGAAGAATTTACATTTTTGCCTAAAATGTAAGAAAAGATCTATTATTGACTTAATGTTAAGTGACTCACAAATGTTTCCATAATTTTAAATTAAGAGTAGGGAGAGATTACATATTTGTACATCTAAAAATTTATTTGGACAGGACATCGGAAATCAAAAAGTGAAACCAAAAAATGGATTAAAAGTGGTTAAAATCTAAATAAGTAAATAAACAAAAATTATATAGCATCCAAATACTTGTCTCTCAAACAAATAAATGCTTTTTAAGATTTTCAACACAATAATGAAATAAATATAAAATCTGATTTATTTTTGACACACTTACTTTCGTCTGCGATTTGTTTCCAGGTAAAGCTTGTGAGCCTGAGTTCGACAGTACTTCTGTTCTTGTACCAACGCTTCTCTTTCATCTTCATTCCCTTCATGTACATCTGATCTAATGTTCCTAATGTGATAGAACGTCAAGGAAGGTATTATAAAAAAAAAAAAAAAAAAAAAAAAAAAAAATATATATATAAGTAATATCTAAACATCGACATTATAGAACATGTATAAATATATACAGGTGGTGGCCAAAAGTTTGTAATAATGAAGTTTTTTTAAAGAAGTCTCTTATGCTCACCAAGGCTGCATTTATTTTATCATATACAGTAAAAAGTCATATTGTGAGATACTATTGCAATTTAAAATAACTGTTTCCTATTTTATTATATTTTAAAATGTTATGTATTCCTGTGATGGCAAAGCTGAATTTTCAGCAGCCATTACTTCAGTGTCACATAATCTTTCAGAAATCATTCTAATATGTTGATTTGGTGCTCAAGAAATATTTCTTATTTTTATCAATGTTGAAAACAGTTTTGCCGCTTAATATTTTTAATGTAAAACTGGGATATACTACCATTCAAAAGTTTGGGTTAAGTACAATGTATTAAAAAAAAAAGAAGAAAATAAATTAATACTTTTATTCAGCAAGCATGCATTAAATCAACCAGAAGTCACAGTAAAGGTAATTATAATGTAAAAAAAAAAAAAAACTATTTCAAATAAATGCCTTTCAATGAACTTTCTATTCATCAAAGAATCCTGAAAGGTTTTCCACAATTTTTTTCAACATTATATATAAGATATTAATAAGAAATTATAGATAATAATAAGAACCATTATTACTAATTGAGAGCACCAATAATTGAGCTTCAAATTATTAGAAAGATTGCTGCTGAAAATTCAGCTTTGCCATCACTGTAATAAATTACATTTTACAATACATTCAAATAGAATTTTTCTTTCTTTCTTTTTTAAATTGTAATAATGTTTCACAGTATAGCAGCACCCCTATACTTGGTCATTAGTTAGCTATGTCCATTATGCAAGAATAATAAATAAAGCCTAAATGTTTTTCTAAAGTACAGTAGTCTATGCGCCACTAGTAAAACTATGAGAACGCCCTCCACATAAATAGACGCTGGTAATTCCGGACAGGCAAGGAAAAGGATACGAGTAGCAAAGTGTGTCCTCCAGGACTGGCATCCCGAAGATCAGGACGACAAGCTGATGACAGTTCTCCACACACCACTTCTCATCCGAACAAGAAAAGCTGCATCTTATTGATGTTGGAACGGCCGCGCAATAACATAACGTTAGCTGGCTTGTAAATATATATAAAAGTAAAATATTGGTGCGCTGAAGAATGAGAGCAAAATGAAGACTGGCCAGCCAGTTACTAAATAAACACAGACGCACAGCGCAGAACACTTACTACCTATGACTTCATAACTTCCAGTAGTTTGATACGAAATTCATCTAGACCAAAACCGACTGAATGCTGTCTTGACAGTTTTAAATTAAAGCAGGCAAAGGTAAGCCTTTATGCTGAAACAGTTGCGCCATGTCGGTAACCATCGACGCGCTTCCTTGACAACAGACACAAACTCGCGGTGGAGGCGTGGTGACGTCTATCAGAAGCGTTTGACGTTCATCAATATCAAGGGACGTACTATATTGCTGCCACCTGCTGGATTAAATGCGCAACAGGTTGTGCCACATTTGTTGCATGCAAAGGCTATATGAGCGGAAGTCCCACTCATTTCCAAGAAACAACTCTTTTAAACAGCAAGTTTCAAAGAACCGGTTAAATAATGTGATTATTTGCGTCTTGACGCAATTACGTAATCGCGCGGTCCTTATTCTTGCGTGGCATGCTAAAACCAAACAGGTAGGCTACATTTGAATGTTTATTGTACTTTGTCATTTTGTATTAATAAGATGTCTGTTGCAACTGATTGTGTCCTAGTTCAGTTATCTACGGCCATTTATCTAATCCCTTACGAAAATTGATTTTGGTTTTATGATAATAATGGTTTTATTGTAGTAAAAGTGTAGTAACCATTTTTTTTTGGCGTATTGATTACCATTTGTATAACCACAGTTATACTACCAATACCATGGTTAAACTATGGTTAGTGTAGCAAAACTATGGTTACTTTGTGGTTACCATTTTTTAACTATAGGTTTTTTGGTTTTATTTGTGGTAAAACCATGTTTAATCTTCGTAAGGGATAAAACATTTTATTTAGAAACTAAGTAGCTTATAAATTGAATTAACATAAATAATACTAATATTCATGTAACCTGCCAATTTACAGTACGTTTTAGGCTATTTGTTACATTTCTGCTATTCAAGTAACTTACTTTTCGCTCAATTATTCCAAATGCTCACAAGGAATCCCATATGAAAGAGTCAGTGAGTCAGTCAGTTGTTGACTGGAGAACCGCTCTTGCTGATTCAATTCAATTCGTGAACAGGTGTAACTGATTAATTGAACAGCATGATTCGTTCACCAATGGGACGTCTAGTTCCAGGCCAGCAGTCTTGCTTGCTTAGGTTCTCCATCCGTTTACCTGTAGAGTCAGTTTCGTTTTTCTTTATTTGAAGATTTTTCACACATTAACTGCTTTAAGTCACTTAAGTGAAGTTGTGAATCGCGGGTCCTCCCAGGATAGATCCTGTCTGTCACAGCCGCTGCAGAGTGTGAATTGAAGCGAAACTGGTGGGTTAGAGATGTTAGACTGCGAATGTAAGTAGCTGACAAGCCGTGTTGACCCGTTCAGGTATGGTTCTTCCAGCATGACATAGCCTCTTTTGAACCAGATCGCTTGCTGTCCAGGATCTGTACTCTACACTGTCCGCCTGCGAGTGACCCTTGCGACTCCTCAGATGCATCGGTATGCTGGAGAATCCTTCTCCTGTGTTGAGCTATCCGCAGGTGCCAAAACATAACGGAAAAAAGAAGAGATAGAGAGAAGAAAAAGTGCGTGAAAATACAAACTTCACACAGGCAATAACAGGGCAGTGGAGCAAAATAATAATAGGCCTAATAAAAAATTATATAAATAATAATTTATAAGCGAGAAAATAAATTGATTTAAATATTCATTTTAAATGAATCAATTTTAATTTACATTTAAATAAGTACACAGTAAAAATACAAAATGAATAAATATAAAAAATAAAGTTATGCACGAATGATGTGATGTAGAATTATATTACACATTTGAAAGGACAATTTTTGCATTTTCTTTAACATATTTGTACTTCACTCATTTAGTATATATTAGTTTTGTAAATGACTTTTCTACACTATAAATTATTAGTTTTAATTTCTATAATAAATTATTCATTTCAATTTTTATTTAAACATTTAATGTATTTACTGCTCATGTATCTACTATTAATGAATTCATCAGGATTTTTCTTATATACTGTACAATTCACATTAAGAAAGTGCTTAGAATCAGACTTTACAATACTGTATGGGACTGTTTTATACAGTTAAAATATGTCATCAGATTATGACATTATTATCTACATTACAAGTACAACTTTACATCTACGAATAAAGTAGTAGCTGGATTAGTTTTGATTTAAAAACTGCAAAGAGCAAAACAAACGTTCCCTGGTAATATCTGACCTTACACAAGCAATCTTTTAGCAGCCATATAGGCTTGCTGCCACAGTTAAGCTGGTGTTTACAAGGGATCTGAAATGAATTAATATGACTTATACTGGCTCCCAGGTTCTTGTTGCTTCTATTTCCCTCTTGAACCAACGTTTGTACTAAGCAAATAATAAACCCAGGCTAAGCATGTGGAGGACAAATGTAATCCAGATCTCTGTAATCCAGTTACTGTGAGACATCCACTCTGATCCGGATTTACAGTCACAATGAAACACTGAGGGTGTGAAATGTATGCTGCCACAGAAGTGCTCTTCCACACCGCATAGGGATTAAAGCTGTTTATACAATCCTGATATTAACACACATTAACACATTACAAAACTGGCAAAACCCCTTGAGATACTGGTCCCCTTTCATCTTAATGGACCGAAGGTTCATCGGAAAAACAGTAGTGGGTGTTGTGTCTCTGCAGGCACAGTAGATCATTTCCTCCAGCAGGAAAGGTTAATGCACCATTAATGGCTCTTAACTGATTTCTACTTCTCCGTCTCTGCTCTAGAGGGTGCTGTTGTCCCTTTTATTTAGCTTCAAATCGTGGGTGGGTAAATGTGTGTATGTGTGGGAAAGACAGTCTGTCTGGAGAGATGGGGGTCAGATAAATTTTGCTAGTACAATTGTGTCGAACTGTCATCTGAGGAGGAAAGTGCTTCAATAGCGCAGAGAGTCTGACAGTGAAAGCCAGCTTTCCTCCCTTTTATTGTGGCCCTCAGGGTAACATGAGTGATCATTTCTCCCAGACCGGCGGCTGACATGTCACAAAAAGTGTCTCACAAACTGCATCGTCTGGGATTGATTGGCCCTCTCTTTGTTCAGTAAAACACAAGGTAACCGGATTTCGATTGGACTGTGTTTATCCTTTCTTATAAAGATGAATTTGTCCCCATGTTCTGAGAAGGAATAATCAGGAAGTAAATAGTGGAGACTGGGGCTAGCTGTCACACTTCTGCCTTTATTTTTGAACATCACATTCTATACAGACACCTACCTTGAAGTCTTAGCTACAAAAGAAGCTATTGAACGTTTCTACCTTTGTTGTCCAGATAAAAAAACAACAACAAAAAAAAACAGCTGAACACATGTTGAATTTTCTGTGACAACATGCCCCCAATAGTGGGGCATATTGTTAGACTAAGTTGTCATGATGGATCCTGCTATTAAGCAGCCTGTTAAAAGACTGTTCAACAGTAATGAAACACAAAAGGCAACATACAAAATGAATAGCAAATTAATTGCAGATTTTGTCTCCTCAATATGGCTATTGAACAAAATAGACACACAAGTTAAACTTTGTGCAGTACAAAATGTAAAGTAGTAACCCATTTAAAGGGGTAATTATCCCAAAAATGAAACTTCTGTGATAATTTTTTCACCTTCATGTCATTCTGTGACCTTCTTTCTTCTGGTGAACGCAAACTAACAAGATATT